TCAGACACCGGTTGGACACATTCTGGCAATCAGGTTTTCTCTCTTTCTGAGATCCGCTGCTATCGCACCGGTTCGTCAGGATAATTAGAGTGCATCAAAATGGGCTGATACCCGAAGACAATGAGAGGTAATCAAGTACTCTGAATCGCACGGAACTCGAATGCATGGCGCATGCCAATCACTGGGTGCGTATCTCGCAATTCTCGCTTTCGGTATGAATGAACTTACCGCTACCTTCTCTTCTCCACTGGTCAAGCTTCCCTAGAATAACAGGAGCGAGGAAATCGGCCATTGTTTAGAGCAAAAATAAAGACGTAAGGGTGACGGTAGCTTCAAAATTTATTCACGGGGTTCAGCCATCCCCTTCGGTCGTTTATTGGGTTTGTAAGCCGCAAGCTATAATACAACTGGAACCATTACCTCTGTTGCCAGAAGAACAGGTAGCCGTATCAGAACACTCAGGCTGACAAGTATGGATACGGTAATACAACGCCCTTTATTGCTAAATACAGGCGCAAACAGTTGCCTAAAAAGATACACTGAACTTCTGCAAAGTAGAGGACCTTAATTAGGGCACCTACCGTGTCTTCTCTTTACTTGTCCATACATATCTTTCCAGAGTTATAATAATCAGCAAAAATGGTATGGCAAATTGAACCGTCTTTGCTATGAAGAATATCGGGACTATATAGCGATGATAAAGGAAAAATAGCGTCTGAAATTGAAAAGTTTTTGTAAACGGTTGACCGAAAACGCACCACAAACACATTGAGTAGAATTTTTGGCGCTAGCATCGGTCGTTGGGGGCCACGAATTGTAATCAGCGAGAACTTCATTCAGGCCACCCTGTGAAGAAGTGAGAATCCTTGTAATCGCAGCGGTTCACTTGGACCATTTCGAACTTTACCAGATTTTACAGGTCTCGAAGTTAGACCTACTAGTTAACAAGAACTTACAAAAGTAGCGAAGCAGCGGAATGCCTCCCCTTCCCCCTCCCCCCCCCCCCCCAGTGCTGAAGAGCGCCCGAATGCTTCGCGCTTTTAACAGCCCTATGAGCTGCAAGTAATGATTCGAATGACAAAACTGGAAGGATTGAAAGGATAAGCAGGCAATTAGAAGGCGAGGGGCGGAGTCAAAAAAGATATTTTTTCATGACGCGCACCACTCAAGCTTATTTCGCTCAGAAAGATTGCGCTAATCGACCCTCGAGAGTCTGCCTAATCGGTTTGGACCCATGGCGCGGATTGCTACGTCCAGAGTGGCTATATTTCAAAGATTTTCCTTGAAAGAGCGAAAAAGGGCTTCACAGAGAATAGAGGATCAAGAGTATGACTAGATGAAAATGTGGTTGTTTACTATGAGGCTTACCTTATCTTTGAGGTAAACAAAACCTGCATCAACACCAAATAGTAGTAGATATGTGAGACAAATGAGCATATCCATTGATGCCAGACAAGCCAAGTAGACAGAAGACGGCAGAGTTCTCCAGAACACAGCCATCAAAAGCTGAAAGAAAACGGCTATTATCGTCTTTAAAACCAGTCCACGTCGATCGTATGGGTGGAGAAAGAGAACCACTACGCTTTCCTCATTGGTCTACTCCTTCGCAGACAGTGAAGACAAGAGGCGCACCAGTGAAGAAAGCCCAGTAATGAGCCATACTCCGCAAAAATGACCAGCGTAAGATTGCCCCAGAGTAGTTTGAAAGCTGCCGGTTGGAAACCTACCGTGTTGCCGAGAATTCCAAAAACAGAAACCATGGAAAATGCAGTGATTATGAGGAATCGTTGAAGTGTGTAGCCTTCGAAGAAACCGCACTCTTCCACCTCCTGACTGAGGTTCATCGTTTACCCTGCAACTATCAAAAGCAATAGAAATAGTGTTAGTGTTAAGTGCGTAAGAACGATGGCCGCAGTTCGGCTTAGGGGGGGGGGCACTTTTGCAACTTCGCAATTCAGTTCATTCTTTTACAAGAGTTGACAAGTTTCCTCCACAACGTAGGCTGACAAAATTTCGTGGCTTCACAGGATTTCACAGGTCTTCACTCGATAGCTCAATGGCTCAACTCGTTTGGGAAGTAGAAAATGTGCAAAATGCCATCTTTGCTCCCTCAAAGCCGAACCACGCGAAACGACGAAATGCAGCACTAAATACGACAAAGTAATATGAAATACTGACAAGTGCTAGATAATTGTTATAGAGCGAAAGAAAATGTATAGTCTGGTTCGCTGAGGATGACGGGGCTTGTCCGCGCGGCGGCGTATGATGCGAGGCCCACCCGCTTTTTTTCTTTCAGCAAGCGACAGGGCTGTATCGCATCGCTCGTATCGTCTTTATCACCGATTGTTCCATGTTGCACGCCTGAAGAACTGGCAGAGAATGGATTTGGCTGCATGCTAAACGCAGCCGCGCCGATACGCCCCACCATCTTTAGCGGAACAGACCGTAATATTAATAAAAAATGACAGTAGTAATCGAATATACTGATAATAGAGTAGCTGATGAGAGACAAAAGATGTGTGCGAGGTAGCTCGAAGAGGGTCAGTTCAAGTAAGTAAACGAAGAGAACCAATTTCTTCGACCTGATGAGGGGGGAACATGATGTTAGGGAGATGAGATTTTCGAGGATAAAGCTGCTTGGGGTAGGAATCCCTTGAGTATTGAAGCCCCGCTTTCTGTTGAAAAGATTTCGGAGATTTGATTGCTCCGTTACCCGGAAAACACACGAGACGAAAGCTGAATTGGAATTCCGTACGAGTCGATCCTTTTCCTGGGGGCGATTGGATAAGCGCCCTAATAAATGTGGAACCGAGAAGCTGCGCGGAATAGGAATAGAGCCATACGAGGAGAGATTCACTTTGATCGTTGAGATTTCTATTAATGCGATACAGAGGGCATAAACAAGCTCGATTCTTCGTGCACTTTTCTAATGAAGGATAAGGCAGACGTGAAAAAATTAGCCAAATGGAAAGGGATTAATGAAAAGGTTCGTAAGGAAAGAGATGGGCAACGGCTAGGCAGAAGCTGCACTTTGGAAATGAAACAATCGTGCAAAGTTTGAACGATTCATTAAGGCCCGAGTTTCTCCGGGTAATTCAACAAATAGATTGCGTCTTGCATCGAAGCAATTTTGACTTAACCCCGCAAAAGAGAATTCGGTTGCAGCCGAAATCCTTCCAGTCATCAGAATCGGGGCACAGGCTCATGGCAAGGGTATAAACCCACGGCCCTCTTCCACCAGTGCCTCCAGATGGTCTTTTCCCTTCTAAATCTATCCTCCTCCCGCTTGCTATCTCCCACAGTTTCTCATGGAAAAGTCGTAGACCGGGAGGGAATGTCACGATTTGCATTCTATAATCTCCTCACCCTGCACATTAAGGAGTCCTACCCAGAAAACCAGTACGCCTCCTTCCTAGATCCATTGAAAGATGGCCCCAACCTCCCCCTCCCCTCCCTACGCTACCTGCTCCGATAAGGATATAATAAGGGCAATTGGCACGATTCATTTCCAGCCATGAAGGATTAATACACCCAGCAGGACAGAATCCTACCCCCCCCCCTGAGGACACGCTGCGTGGCGCCTTTTCCCAGGGAAGGTACCCCTATAGCGTCCTATGAATAGCTGTATCATACCGAGCCGGCCGCCCACCGCGCTCTGTAGCGCCCCGCTAGCGGTTTAGGTCGAATACCAAATTATCGTGCCTTCTAAGGATAGTGTGCCGTGATTGAGCGTTCGTGCCTCGGCTCTGATTAGGGGATAGAAGGACAAAGGATAGTGTTTATTTATTTATTGATATACACTCAAGGGTGCGCCGCAAGTTATGGGAAAGTGAAACAAACACAGTTAGTGCATAATACAGCCAGGTATACTGATAAAAAAAGAATAAAACATCTGGAAACAACACAATAACATTTCTTGATATCTCATAGGAGAATCACCGTAAACGATTATTCAAGTGATAGTAAGTATTTAAGTACGTTTGCATATTCATAAACTTGTACGTTATTTATAGTCAGCTATTCAATAATAATAATAATAGCTATTATATACGAAGTGAGCAATATCGTGAAGAAAAACCCGCAGACTAGTAGCGATTAGTTAGTAGGAGGAGATGCATGTGCAGTATTTTAAATAAGCAAAAAAATTTAGGAATAATTCAAAGGAAATCTAGGTAAAGCTTATAGGCTGTGTTTCGAAGCGGAATCAGAGAAATCACCGGGACCTTCCTTGTGTGTATGTAAGGCTGTTTTCCCCTTCAGGCAGATGAAAGAGTCCCCCGCGAGATCCTGGTCCTTGGTTCTGAACGCAAGGATTTTGACGAACAGTACTGGGGCTTGCTGACAACTTAACCCGTTACGAACGAATTCGTATGTGTTCGCCCTTAATTAATCCCTTTTTGGATGCGCTTACACTATTCTTATTCAGTACCGTAGTAGAATATTGAATGCGATCTGGCAACTACGATGACAACCTGATGTACAAATCACTGCACTTATCCTTCCAGACGAATGGTTTCACCTTACCGTCCGCGGAGGGCACGGCTTAGTTGACCTGAGCGGCAGCCCATCCGGAATTAGACCCCAGACTGCGCGTGTGGTGAGCGTGCCACTTGCCGCTACACCGCCTCCGCAAGATCTGCGATCTGATGAGCTTCAAAAATTTCCTTTTTGCTGGGGAGGCAGAACAGATGACACACTATCATTATGCTGACCGTGTCATCATCATTATCACTATAATTTTGTCAGCCATTTTGTAAACGTGCCAAAAAATAACACGATAGAGCGCACAACGCAGATACAACCTTCCTGGGACACGCCACGCCTTCGACTTCCATTCTGAACCGCGGTGTATGCGACTTTGCCTATATTATGACTTGCGCGCCAACCGCCGATGTACATACTGGTAGATTTGCTCTTCCAGCTGAGTTCTTCACGATTCCACAAGTCTCTACTTGGTGGCTCGACCCGACAATGGGAAGCAGCGAAAGTGCAAATTGTCCACCCCCGTTGCCGGACTGTGCCTAATCACCGTATTTTAAATTGGTTCGCTCACTACAGAACTCGTTCTCCTTCTTACGTCTAGACGAATGTTCCCATCTCTAATGAATC